TACCTTCCGTATACAGAAATGAGGGAGCGCATTCGAGATGCAACAAAGACTTCTCCGGAGAATAAACCGATGTCCTTGTCAAAGCAGGAGTTCAACACCCCCGCTGTGATGCCAAGGGCAAACACTGTTATCTGTTCACATACACTTTGTACCATGAAAAAGTTTCGCAATTTGCATGCATTCACACTGCTCCGACAATTGGGTACACCTAGATAAAATTAGCCTTGCAGTAAACCCTACCTTCATGAAGGTAGGATAAGAAAAAACTGCATAACCCTCCCTTTTTTTAAAATTTTTAACAGAATTATTTCATACAGTCCCCAACTTTTGCAATGAAACTGTCATTAAATATGCCATGCATACCAAAATTGAGAACAATATCAGTTTATTTTTAGGTAATGTCACCACCAAATGGGCAAATCTGCCTGAGCCCATCAAAACTGATACTTTGCTGGCAGAAGATAAGTGCACACCAGCATGAAATTAGCACCCTTGGGCTCATGCAAAATGTACAGTTGTGTGTTACGCTTTGGACACCCACCAGTCGCATGGCAGCTGGGAGCCGATGCCAATGTAAAGGATTTATCAGTATGAAACTGGCCCCAAAGAAATATCACATGGCACTCATGATGCAGTATACTGTATCATTGTGTACACACACACAAATGCTGCTGCTTAACATCCACGCATTTGTTCTACTGATGCCATTCCTCGCCTTGGCGGACTCTCCCTTCCCTCCTTTTTCTTCCTGTGCTGGTTTTCGTAGCTTCCTTTTTAAGTTGGAGATCGGGGGGGGAATTTTCGGTCTTGTGTCAGTGTTTGTTTGAAACATCTCAGTCTTGCGTGAGTTTCCCTGCTGCTCCAACGTCACACTTATGTGTTGCTATAAACTGGAACGACCTGTTGGCCCCTGTGCTTCTGCAATATGAGTATTACTGAAAAAAAACAAAAAACTCTTTGTCCTTTTAACACATTCCCCTGTTGTTCTAAATGTTTTCTTTCCTTTTCCGCTGTCATGTAGCAGGATTTTGTTTCCCAGAAAATAGCAGTCTGAGAAGACTCTTTGGAACTGACATCTTGGCGTCAGTAATGTGGAGGTGGAATGTCTTTTGATTAGAACAAAGTGTCAGTTTGTTGATATCACTTGGCCTCATCTGTTGCCTTCCAAATACAACGGTTTGAAATTACACCACATACCAAATTATTGGACATTCTGATCATTTTTTGAATGGTAAAATTATTGATGCAGCCAATCAGGTCTATTTAGCTCAATGGTATTTGATTTTTTTCTACAACATTTTGTATTTTCTTTGTGTGTTTTGTCGTCTTGGCTTCCCCAGTTTCATTCCCCATCCAGACCTCCTTTTTTCAGCATTACCTTTCTTTATCACTCAGACTGATTTCCCTATTGCTCTCTCTAACTCTCTTCTCCCCGTGACTGTGCTTTGTCAACTTCTCTCGTTCTTTTCTATTTGCATCTTTCACACACACTCCCTCTCTCTGTCCTCGCTCCTTTTGTTCGTCTAACTCCTCTATTCCACCCCTCCTTTTTTGCCTCTCTCAATTTATTCTCCCCTAATGTACCTTTTCAATTTTTCTCTCCCTCTATCTGTAACTCTTCAGCTCTCAACTGTACGCCCAAAAGCCATCATGTATATTCAAAGGGTATATGTGAGTTGACGTATGGGTGTGTCTAGTTGCTGGAGTTTGGTGTGATATAGTGGCTGCTGCTTCTGTTTGTTTGTTTACCTCCCACAGCCACTTGGAGTTCATTAGCAATGCCTTTGCCTCAGGAGGATCATCAACACACACACTCACTCACTCACTCACTCACTCACAAACACACGGACATGCTCTTCCTCTGTCTTTCCCACTATCTCGTTTTCTCTCACGCACATCACCACGACTACAAGCCACACAGACCGGTAGCCCACCGTTACAGGAGTTTCCTGTCACAACTTTGTGTTTGGTGAAGTCTCCAACCACAGACGTGTCGGAGTTTAAGCTGCAAAAACAGGTCGTTAATTTGCTGCAGTGCTGTCTTCCTCCATAAAGCGGCTGCGTTTTTACATATGTGTTGCAGTACGTGTTTATGTTCGCACCTTTGCCTTGTCCCTGCACTAGAAAATGGATGGATGTTATTCGTCATTTTATACAAATGACATTTGAGCCTTTGACTGATTGATTTTAGGGGAAATAAACCGTGTCCACTAATTACAGTAGCAATAAGAGTTAATATTGCATGTGATAGGGGTGGGCACTAAACAAAATGTATCAAATTATGAATGTCTTACCAGTCTGAATCTCAAACCACAAATTTAATTGAGTTCTGTTATAAAATTGAGAATAGCTACAAAAAACGGTATTTCAAAAAAAGAATCGTTAGTTTCCGTCGTTCAAACGGCTCCTAATACAATACCTGTTAGAATACATTTTGAACACAACCTACATAGTGTGATTCTAAATTAACTTGTACAATTGATTTTGTCCGCTGCTAGCAAACGATCTGTTAACCCACCCTGACGTTTAATATGCTAACTTGTTAGCACGCAGTAGCCTATTTACACTTACTGCAGATTCCGATGAGGATTTATTTGGAGTTGTGTTGCTGGACACACGGCGAACGTTCAATCTCCTTTAGCTCGTTTTCTTTTTTTTGGTCTCGAACAACTCCTGAGAAAAACATCTGTCTCTTTTGGGTTGGTCACTTTGAGCGACCCCTTTCACATTACGCACGGTCATTTGTTCGTTGTTATTATAAAAATATGGATTTGTTTATCATGAATAACTAAGAGGCGACTTCAGATTCATATAACCAGAAATTCAACAAATCAATCTGCTGACGTCCAGAAAACTGTACGTGGTCATTCTGTTTCCAGCACAAGAAATACATTCTCAGGTACTGATGTATTAAAACTAATTGTGAAACGATGATATGATACAGGTTTTAGTTCAAATCATCCCGCCCTACTATTTAAGTTTCTACATGACTTACTATTCACATTGTCATTTTTATATTGCCACGGACAACATTGTGCCATTTCTCCTACTCGGACCACAAGTTACATTATTGGTGCATATTAAGTGAATACAAGTGGAAATATACCAGACAACATTCAGCCCACAACAAATCATTTCATAGTTGTCTGTTTGTTACATAACTGCATGAATCATAGGGAGGTTTTTTCTTTTTCTTTCTTTTTTTTTTTTTTTTTTTTTTTTTTTTAAAGAAGACGATTTTGATCCTGACTATGTGCAGACAACGTCACCCAGCAGGGTCTATACACAGAGAATGATGTTGCATTAAAAGCAGTGCTAAGCAGCGTCTCTCTTTCTCTTTCTCTTTCTCTCTCTTTCGACATCCCATAATGATACTCAGACAGACTCAGTCAGACACCCGCTTGGTCCCGATTGGTAGAACTGTTGCCAGGGAGCGTTGCCGTCTCAACGTGGATAGAATCTGTTGTCTGGTACACTTTAGACATGAGAACAACTGCAGGATCTGAATATTTATAACGAGGGGACTGTTCATATTGAGATTGTATAGCGGGAACATAAGCGCGAGAGGAAGGAGCTGTTCCTATTCAGCGCACTTCAAAATGTCTTCTCATTTCCTTTTATTTGTGCATTGCCGTACTGTAATAAAATATGAATTAGCGTGATCACTTCTCTGTATTTGTCTTCTGAATGCCTGTTCAGCTTAGTTAGGTTTTTATTATCTGCATCTTGATTAAAAGTTATTACGACGCCAACTTAACTTTTAGATTCAAGTTAGTGGAACTGTTCTATAAAGTACAAAATTGCAAATACATGAGTCATAATTGTGTTTGACTTTTGCAGTCTTGTGTTTGAATGATACCCTATTGTCATTTGGTATCGCTACAGTGTAACTAGTAATTAAGTCTGTGTGCATGTATGTGTCTGTCTGCCATCTGGCGAATCGTTTCATTTCTTCATATTATTCAAATATGCCTGGACCTGCTGCTACAGTTAATAACACTGTGCGTAGGTATGAATCCTTGATTTAAAATGGATGTAACGCATTCCAACAAAGCAACCAACAGCAATCAGATCTCATATCTTAAATCACAAACTACGCTGCCACACACATGCACGAACATACGTGCACATGTGCACACGCCTGACAGAGTGCCAAAAGTCACAGCCGCATATATAACGTTGATTATCAAAACATGCCTAGGTATGCGAGAAACTTTGACATGGAAATGCAAACACAGAAGGAAATGAGGACACAGGCAGCAGAGAGGCACGCACGCACACATGTAGTCACTCGTTGAGGGAGTTCATGCCTTTATATTCTTTCATCACGGATGTGCAAAGTCTATATTTAATGCAGGCGGGAGGAGGCTGCAATATCAGTGTGAATGTTTGTGTGTGTGTGTGTGTGTGTGTGTGTGTGTGTGTGTGTGCTTTTATGGGCTTGTGAATGCGTGTGCCCGTCCTAGTAATGTACATGTGCATGCATATCGGCAGATTCTGTGGCGCATACATTTACATGAGCATGCGGCCGTGTGTCGGTGTATATATGTGCAGTGTGCCACACCGCCGTCCTGTCTGCCTGACTCAACATATTCTCCGTTCACTCTCCTTTGCTCGTTCTCGCCCCCTCCCTCTTCCTCTTTTCCCTCACTGCCCCCCTCTCCTCTCCTCCCCTCCCCAACCCCCTCTCCCCCTCCCTCTCTTTCTGCCCGGCTGGCACGTACATGCATGTCTGTAGACTCTGTACTGTGCTTGCTGCCGTGGCACGTGCCAACCTCACTGCAATGCAGCCCTGTGTGCATTAATTGGCAGAGAGACAGTGTGTATGTGGTATGCAGGGCGGGAAGGATAGAGAAAAGGGAGAGGCGAGAACCAAGGAGGCGATGTAAGGACACAATAGTCACAATAACTTATTGATGGGCCGATGGATGGACACTGTCTGTCTGTCTGTCTGTCTGTCTGTCTGTCTGTCTGTCTGTCTG